GTGTTGGTGTTGTAGAGATTGTGAGATAGGTTATTGAGGTATGATTCTTGGATGTAATAGTATTATGTATACATGCATGTACAAACTAGGTTTGTAGAAAGATTGTTGAACATAAATAAATAATGATTGGGTTGGGGAATGAAGGAAATCTTGTAAAAGAGATTTGAAATCAGGATGCTCAACTAGTATCTGATAAAATGCTCAAATGAGCTGAAACCACGAATACCTTCCTAATTTATGTTCAATTTTGTTATGTCTCAAAGTAGATTGGGATTGCTAGAATTTCCGGAACGTCGTAGTAACATAAGGAAAGCTTAAACAAGGTATGTATGGCTAAAATCCCCTCTTCTTAGAAATTGAGCTCCCATGGTGTCCCTGCATATGTTGTATGTCTAGAATTTGAATTATGTAGTATTTGTTATTTCAAAAGATTTGGTGTTGCAAGAATATATGTGAAAGGTGTGTCTCAATATGTTGTGCTATTCTTGGTAATTGGGGATATATGAAGAACGTGAACTATATGCTAAATTACCTAGATTTCAAGTCAAGTTAAATTCTGATTATTATGCCGAATCATGAGAATTCTGCTCTATGCTTATAACTTGAATTGCTCTTGTATGTGCCCATTATCTTAAATTGCAAGTTTGATGTTGAAAGTGAAAGTGATGTGGAATGAGAGTTATGAAATATGGCCTAATGCCAAGTATGATGTGATAATTATGGCCCCAAGTGCCGATGAACTAATACATGTGAAACCAAATATTGAAGTGAGATGTGTAATGGAAAAGGGTAACGTTTTGTAAGATGGCTTAGCCGATCGGGACGTGATCGGATGCCATGTTATACACACATGGTGGTAATGCAATGATAATTGAAACTGGAAAGTGAGACTGAAATAAGGGTAACGTCTTGTAAGATGGCTTAGCCGATCGGGCCGTGATTGGACTCCGCTCAAGAAAACCGTGGTATTGTGAATGATGATGAACAATATTAAAAGTCCCAAACTAAAGCTATGAAAATTATGTGAAAGCTATGTGATTCCTTCTATTTGATGATGTAGTGATTGTTTAAAGCTTTTGTTGAATCCTTATGATTTCGTTGTCCTTATATGGTTGTTCTTTCTAATGAGATGGTGTTTAGTTATACATACTGGTGCTATTTTTTGGCACTAACGTCCCTTTTGCTGGGGCGCTACGTCTTTTAATGGATGTAGGTGTTTCTATAGCAGGCACAGTTGGTCGCAGCTAGTGCCGCATCATCCTTTCAGCTGACTTGGTGAGCCCCACTTCGTTTTGGGGTTCTGTTTCATCTGTGTATGATGTACTTTGTATTTGAGGTATAGCCGGAGCCTTATTTCCGGAATTTCCATATTATTCTTCAGTTGTATTTAGAGGCTCCGTAGACAAGTTGTGGGTAGTGTCGGGTATTAGAATTAAAGTAGAAATATCGATGTTTGGCAATGATGTATAAAACTTGTAATATCTTCAAAATTGTGAACGAAGTTGTTAATAGAAATGAAATGGACTTGTTAATGACATGTTTATAGAATTTGATTAATGGTGTAAATTTCCTCTTTATTCAAATACGAATTTGGGTAGTATGAAACCTAACAGGCTTGCTCAGTCGGGTTTACTCGGTTGAGCGTCGGTCACGCTCCTCGGATTTTGGGGCATGACAAATTCTCTTGTTTTAGAAATCGGGGCATAATTTTGAAATGGATTCCAAAAGTTGTAAATGAATTTACCCCGTTGTCTTAGTTATTTTGAGCATTTATCCGTTCTTTCTAACCTGTCCAAAAACCACATTACAGTCCAAAAATGGCCTCACAGATAATATTTGAGAGTGCTTAGTTTAGACATGCCAAGAGTATATAATATTTTTTCCATAGTTAATGCCTTGTCATCTGCAGAATAAGAGGAAATAAGAAGAAAAGAACAAAATGAGAGAGTCTTATTGGTGAAAACCTTCATAGACATCATAAGACGATGGTGAGTTGAGAAAAAGAACAAAATGAGAGAGGCTTGATGGTGTAAACCCTTTGGGCACTACAAGTCGAATAAGGATTCTGAATCAGATAGGATAATCGGAGCATGGAAGCCCAATTTCATGACTCAGAGGTACAACAAGAGTTGAACATTAGACTTGCTTGACAGATTAGGCTACTTAATCTAAAGGTGCATGTCATTGTCATTAGAGTTGTTATCCACATCTTGATAAGTTTCTACTTTGTAGTTTTTTATAGGAATCATCTCTTTCCATTGTCCTTTACTCTGTTCCTTTTGTCCTGTTTACTTCCCCTTCCTGAGTTTGTTTGGTCAGAAAAAGTGAGAAACGACTTTGAAAATTTGCCACCAACTTTCCAATCGCACAAAATAGGATCTGGCTAGCACATCAAAGTGGCATATGTATGGAAAGAACAACATGTGCACTGAGTTGGTAACAATCAATGTGCTTTGGGATTCATGTGAAATACAAAGAGTTCGGTATATGTCAATTCATGAACAATACAACAGGTAGAGGGTGTTGGGTTTGAAAAGATCAAGGGTATTTTCTGTGATAAGATTGATAGAAAAAGTGGCTAATCAATAGCAAGCAAGGTCTGCCAAGTGGAAATCAAAGTTATCATGGCAAGTGAAGGAGCAATAAACCTCAATAAACATACAAGTTTTCTTTGATTGAAATAGAGCAGGAAATTTCATTTGTTCCGGAGGAACCCTCCGTAAGGAAAGCATGTGCCAGACAGGTTTGACCCTAAATTCTCAGGACCCTCCTAGATAATGGGACCTAGTTAAATTTCAAGACATTCATAAATAACAAGATTTAGCGTAAGTTCTACTTGTAGAAAATATAATTTAGCTTTAAAGTTGTCACTCTTAAGATGAGATTCAATTTGAGGTTTTCAGGGCCCTCCTGTATAATGGGACTTAGTTTTTGATTTATTATAGCTCTTTTGATAATAAGATTCGATTAACACTCACAGATATTTTCGGTACCAAACTGGGGTAGAAAAGTTTCTTCTGTTTTGTCTGTTTTATTGTAATCAGGTGCCCACCTAGACAATAAGGGAAAAAGATTTCAAGTAACAAGGGAAAGCAGGTCGAGTTCAGCAATCAGGTGCCCACCTGGAGAAAAAGGGATGGCAGCTCATGTTTCGAAGGAAGACATTTCAAGTTTAGAAATCAGGCGCCCACCTGGAGAACAAGGGAAGGCAGTTCAAGTTTCAAAGAAAAGCAGTTCGAGTTTCAGCAATCAGGCGCCCACCTGGAGAACAAGGTAAGACAGTTCAAGTTTCAAGGGAAAGCAGTTTCAAAGGAAAGCAGTTCAAATTTCAGCAATCAGGCGCCCACCTGGAGAACAAGGGAAGACAATTCAAGTTTCAAGCGAAAGCAGTTTCAAAGGAAAGCAGTTCAAATTTCAGCAATCAGGCGCCCACCTGGAGAACAAGGGAAAACAACTCAAGTTTCAAAGGAAGACAGTTCAAGTTCAGCAATCAGGCGTTCACTTGGAGAACAAGGGAAAACAACTCAAGTTTCAGGGAAAAGTGGTTCAAGTTCAGCAATCAGGCGCCCACCTGGAGAACAAGGGAAAACAACTCATGTTTCAAAGGAAGACAGTTTAAGTTCAGCAATCAGGCACCCACCTGGAGAACAAGGGAAATCAGCTCAAGTTTCAGAGAAAATCAGTTCGAGTTTCAGCAGTCAGGCACCCACCTAGAGAACAAGGGAAAACAACTCAAGTTTCGAAGGAAGACAGTTCAAGTTCAGCAATCAGGTTCCCACCTGGAGAACAAGGGAAAGCAGCCTAAGTTTCAAGGAAAGCAGTTCGAGTTTCAGCAATCGGGCGCCCACCTGGAGAACAAGGGAAGGCAGTTCAAGTTTCAAAGGAAGACAGTTCAAGTTTTGGCAATCAGGCACCCACCTGGAAAATAAGGGAATTCACTTCAGAATGCAATTCAAGTCAGCAACAAAAGAAGTTCGCAGCAAGAATGCGGGTCAATAGTCCGAGATGACCAACAGAAGTAGTCTCAATCCAGAATATAAAAAAAAGAGGGGAAAAAGAAAAAAAAAAGAGAAGTTAATCCAAAATACAGAAGCAGAAAAAGGTGTGAACTGCTCAAGACGTGGTTGAAGTCATAAGCACCACATGTCCGATCTTGATCCGAAAAGCTAAAGAAGAGCGAGCTAGCACCTGCAGCTAACAAGCGCTAAGGTTCAAATCTAGAGTCTGCATGAAGAGGCATTCAAGACTCAAGATCAAGCTTCAGAAGACTTATAGATAGGAATCTTGTAACTCATAGTTCACACGCTTAACTAGTCTTTTTCATTTTTTTGATTTTTGATGTAATAACAGGACCGCGAACTGGAACTTCGACGGAATGGCACCTCGACCGGCTCTCCACCTTGGTATACTCCATTATTTCACTCACTTCTGAACTACATGTGGCCTGATTCCTTTATAGCCAAGGATATGTAGGCAACTCAGATGCCAGGGCTCGGTCATATCCTCCTTTTTTTTAGTTTTTGGTCTCTCTAAATAAGGGTCTGGTCAAAAAACATGTCTAGTCGTTCTTTGTCTGAAAATACTTCGTGTTTTCAGTCAAAGAGGGGTAGCTATAAACATGTGAATTTTGACCCTCCCCAAGATTTTACAGATTTTTGTATTTAAATATTTAGTTTTAGGTCTAATATAATTATTTTAACTAGTTTTGACCCTTTTACTTTATTTTATCACAAAATAAAAATTAAAAAATATTTCTTGTTTCTAGTTGCTTTTAGTTTATATACCTTTCATAAAACTTAAAAAAATACAAAAAATAGTACCTTATTTTTATTTTTATATAATCTTGAAAACACAAAAATAGTTTAATGTTTTAATATAATTTATGTTTAATTAATTAAAATTAGTTTTATATTTTATATTATAAATTATATATTTAGAAGGAAGAGTTAGTTTTGGGTTGGTTTATCCCATTTTAATCTTGTAGTCCATTTTTTTTTTAGTCTTTTTCCCAATTTTAAGATCCAATAATACAAAACCCATACCCCCTTAACCTAAAAAACTTTCTATATAACCAGAAAATGAGCCTAAAATACCTAGACCCCAAAACCTAGAGCTAGCTCAAGACCTAGATGCCTAATAATCCAATCCGCCGTTTTTGGAAAAAAAAGGACGATCCCCATCAGATTTTCGTTCATCTGCTTGAGAGTCCAAAAACCCTGGGTTTCATCTCCTTCATGGAAAAAGCAGCCTAAACCTAATACCCTTAAGGATCTGTTCTGCTTCTTCCTCAACAAAAAACCAAGGAACCCATCTTCTTCAACGAAGGGTATCAGCGACCAAACACCAGCCATCGCCTCCGCTGACCCCTTTCTTCTTCTTCATCTCGCCGGTGACGACCTCCTCCAATTCCAGCCTGCAATCAGCTGTTGTTGAACACCATGAACGCATCTGAAATAACCACCAAATAACAGCTTCACGAAGTTCAGCCATTCAGTCAATCTTTTGTTCGTGAGTTTTTATTTTCGGTGATATCTCATTGATTGTTGGTCGAGATCCATCGAGGTTGCTGGCGCCGTCTTCGATTTGTATATATTTTGGGATCGAATCTGAGATTCCAGCAGCAGTAGTTGTCAACGTCAGTCATCGTTGGAGAGTCGAGGTCCTTTGTTGAGTCTTGGTCGCGATTCTTTGCTCGAAATTGTTTCAATTTTCTTATTGGATTTCAGATCTGAGGTCAGATTTTACTCCTGTCTTTTCTTAAAATTCAATCAATCAATTTTAAATTCGTAGTTGGGTTGTGCTAAAATTCGTTGCTGATTGTTCGTTCCCGAATGAATTACTATTCAAATTGTTTGGATCCCTTCTTGTCGTAGTATTGTTGTGATGAGAACCAGTTGCTCGACTATTTAGGAACATGTGTTTGGGTAAGATTTTATTCCTTCCTATACTTGTCTAGTCTAATTCCATGTGAAGAATGTATTCAAAAAAGTTTATTTGGCCTCATTAAGCGTGATGAGTAAATTGTGCTTTGCTTGAAAGTTGATGGACAATAAGTGAAATCTTGAGTTCAAATTAAAGTGCCACGGAGTCTGTTTCGTTCATGGAGTTAAACTTGGTTTTATTTCTCAATTGTGAATTTGCTCTTAACAAATAGTTTAAAGCTCTCAAAACGGAATACCCGGCACTACATTTCTCTTCCTTAATCATATTTTAAAGGTTCTTTCATAGTGATTAGTTTTTAAAAAAAAGAATATCCTTCTTCTTCAAAATACATGTTAGTTCTGGTCATATGTTCTCATATTTTATTACTCGTAACTTTCGTATTTTCACTTACTTTGGATTATCTCTGTCTTCTTTGCTTGGTTGTCTATTTTATATGTTTGTGTGGATGATTGAATTGAAATGTTTCTAATGACTAAATTAGGCGCATCAATCTTGATAATGATTAATAAGTGCTTTTGTGATTGTGTACACGTTCACGTGACATAATTACGATTTTACAAACTAATTTGGAGTATGCGTTCGCGCAACTTCGATCAAACTTTCTTAATAATAAAATTGTTTTAATAGGCTGCTAATTAAAATTTAGTTTATATAGTCTGAGGTGTGTCATCCACGATTTAATCATACATGACCCTCGTATTAATTTTACAACGTAGATATAAAAATGACAAATGTTCGTAGTTTGCTTTAGGCACGTCTAAAATACGATCATAGTTGCGTACACGTTCGCGTGACATAATTATGATTCTAATAACAAAACCGGAGTATCCGTTCATGCAACTTTGGCCAAACTTTTTTAATAATAATAAAGCGTTATTAATTATGGACAAGTTCGCATGGCATGATTTTTGACGCACCAAACAAATGGTTACACGTACGCGTGACCTGTTTAAAGATAATTTCTTAATTAAAAAAGGCAAACACACACAGGTTCTAAAATTAGTAGCTAAACAATTTTAATAAGCCAAGTATGATCAAAGTGACCGTGCTAGAACCACGGAACTCGGGTATGCCTAACACCTTCTCCCGCGTTAACAAAATTCTTTACCCGAATTTCTGTGTTCGCGGACCGTAAATAGAGTCAACTTCCTTGATTCGGGATTTTAAACCGGTGACTTGGAACACCATAAATTATCCCAAGTGATAACTCTGAATTTAATATAAATGATCGGGTACAACCTTGGGACTGGCGATGATGTTGTTGGCCTTTTTAGAGCCTAACTTATTTTTGGTGGACGTCCTCGAGGTCTGGTACCACCTTGGGACTTGCAATGATGTTGTTCTTTCCATATATAGGGTTGTTTCTGCTTTTTTGGAGATCCTACCATTCTAAGTAATTACCCTTCCTTTTCTGCGTTAAGTCTTTCATTACTTCAGTACTAACGCACTCGCACAGATTCCTGCTTTAGTTCTCTTAATTTTGCCATAGCCATGGTTGCTACGTCGGGGTCTGTCCGGCAGAGATGGGAGAGTCCCGCCTCCAGCATTCAGGACCAACGAGAGTATGCCTTGAAGACTACTTCTTTGATAGGAGAAAAGCACCTTAAGTTAGTGAGAAAAGACTGCAGATGGGGGGAGAAGTAGTGTTACAGACATTTTCCCCAGATTAGGGCATCACGGATCGCACCGCTGGGTTTTTGAATGTGTACACGTATCCTTTCACACTGGGACCCCTTGATAGGGTTGTGCTTGACTTCTGTTTAAAGTATCAGGTTACCTTGGCTCAAATCCATCTATCATTTTGGCGAATACTGTTGATGATGAGATTTTTCGCGGAGAAGACGGGGCTTGAACTTACGCTCAATCATCTTATTAGGCTGTACCTCTTTCACAATCGAGGTCTGCTAACCTTGCGATGCCGATCGACCACGCCCTTCATTGTTGATGATGAGGAAGATGAAAACTGGGAGTGGGTGAATCGCTTCGTCCGAGTTCGTACCACTGACATTATCCCTATGGAGCTTATGCCATTCCCTGATGAATGGAACTATACACATAAGTGGTGCATTTTGTGCCTTCTCAGTTTTGTCCATGGCGAAAGCTGGTTTCGTAACCGTGCCTTTTTTTTCTGCACTGGTTTCATAGGTGCCGGGCGATGTTCCTGATCTACCAGATTGGGTGCGGAAGTTGGCAACCAACTCGACCTATTATGAGCGCAAGTGGCGAGCTTTGTCCCGGGGCAGAAGGGAAGCAAAACATCATGGTGCGTTTTGTGCTATTTTTTCTTTTCCCTTCCTTCATTTGTAGTTGCATTTTCCCTTTATGCGTATTAATCTTGCTATTGTAGGCATCGGGGAGCCTCTCGAGGAGAGGAAACACTCTTCTGGAGAGGGGGAAGGGTTGCCAGCTTTCGGGCTAAAGAACTACAACAATAAGCGAGAGATGGTTTTACAGGGCGATGGCGCTCAAAGCAAGGCGAAATGGGACCGGGGCTCCGGAGTGGGAGCATCATCCGATCCTGCCGCGTCCGTGGTTCCTGATTCTAGAAAGATGGTTTCCCCACCGCTGTCGCCCTCTTTTTCCGTCGACAGTACTTCGAGGGATACTAGGAACCGGGGGTCGCATACACCGAGCGACTGTGCCTCGGCCGGAGTTGATCCTTTCAGAGCTGGGGTAACTAGGTTGGCAGATGTGCGCTCGGCATTCGAGGAAGCCCAACGACTTCACTTCATGGTGAGTTTCGGCACAAGCCTTTTGAGCTTCGCGCCTTCCCTCCCTAATTGGGTTTTTTTTGCAGGCCTTCGACAAGCTTAAGTCTGGGCTACTTCGTTGTGAAGCCAGGCTGTGGAAAGCTCTGGATGAGGAGAGATCCCTTAGGCTCCTTTGTGATGAAAAGGAAGTCGAGTTGGTGCACTTGCGGTATTTGCTGAGCCGGAGCTTGAATTATAAGAACTACTTGAAGGAGCAGGTAATTTTCTGTCCTGGGTGAGCGTGCATTCTTCCTTCTAGCTTCTGAGGCTAACACTTCATTTATTTCAGTTGTAAAAAAAGATGGAGGCCATGGAGCACCTTTGGGATGAAGCTGGCTGAGCCAGGCGTGAGCATGATAAGCTAAAAGCTCGGGCGGAGGCTCAAGCTTTAGAGGGGAAGGGTGCTCTGGCTAAAGTTCCTGCTTTTGAGGCTCAACTTTGCTTGGCTCCTGACAACGCTCAGTTCAAACTGATATGATTAAAAAGCTTCAGTTCGAGCTTTCGAAGGTCAGGGCTGAGATCGTTGATGCCCAGGCTGAAGCTGTAATAAGCCGAACTAAGGCTGACCAGGAGATGACAATCTATTTAAAGGAAGCTACCGATACTCAAGCTGAGCTAAGAAATATCCTCGACCGCAAAGAGATGATTGAAGAATATGTTCGTTATAAGTCTCAAAGAAAGACCCTCGAGGAGATCCGTGCTGGGGGTTTCGCCCTTTCAGAAGAGTTGGCGCGAGCGAGGGCAGACGAGCGTGATGCTCGGTTACTTTTGTCTGACGCCGAAGAAGGCAAAAACGAGGCCTTCTCCCAAGGGCGTAGATTTCCCCATCTGTATATTTTCAAAGCATGTTTGTAGATGGAGATTGCATTTTTTCGCATATGTGTATAAAAGAAAACCTTGCAGCTTTATTTCTTTTGTATCTCTTTCTGTCTTGAATTTGGCCAGGTGAACTAGTCTTTGAGTTTGTAGGAATCCTTAGAGTCATGATATGGCCCTGGGGCTCATTAGGCTGGCCCGCAGGCTCTTACACGCTTGGTCGATGCGACCTTTTATGTGGGATAGCAACAATGGCTCTTACGCCTTGCCTTTAGACATATATAGTTAACTATTTTGGGTTCAGTCTCCGAATCGAGTTTCAACTCGAGCTCATTCGACCCTGAAGTTTTGTATTTGTGCGGGCTGACGATAATGGCTCTTATGCCTTGGGCCGATACGACCTTTTAGTGTGGGCTGGAGACAATGGCTCTTGCGCCTTGGGTCGAAGCAACCTTTTAGTGTGGGCTGGCAACAATGGCTCTTACGCCTTAGGTTGAAGAGACCTTTTATTGACTTTATTTTTCCCTCGTTAAGGACTTTTTGAAATAATTTTTTGCCTGACTCTTCGACAGTTCGATAAAAACCTCAATTATGAGTCGTTATGAGGCGATAATCGAGCAACTCATGAGGTTTGGATCGGAGGCTGAGTATCTCAAAGCATGTGATTTGGAGCTGACGTGGTCGAAGCTCTTTTGCCTATGTCGAGGGTAACCTATTTAACCGGTTTATTTTGAAGTAGATTCAAATTAATTGAAGGCTTGTGATTTTGTAGCGACGGTCGGGCGTCCCCGAGTCACGTTAGTTTGGCTGGTACAACCTTGTGACTGGAGTCATTTGTGTTCGGACGGAGCTTTTAAGTCCCGAGTGAAGTAATTTCGGCTTCTATATCGAGGGTATGCCTTTTTAGGGGTCTTACAAGTTCGATATATAGAGGACAATTTGAGATCGGGTTTATGCCTTTAGTAAGATTTTACAAGTTTCATATGCCTTTGAGGTCTTACAGTTTTAGATACTTAGTACAAGTATTGTTCATGCCTTGCTTGAGGTCTTATAGATATTGTTGCTGCCTTATATAGGTCTTACGAGACCCAGTCTGCTCGCTCGGGGTCTTATGGCCTCGGGTTTCTTAATGAATGGTGATTGGCGACAGTCCCCGAGTCATCGAGGGTATCTTGGTTCGGAAGTCGTTACTTGTAAACTTTGAATTGCCTTATTGAGGGCTTACAATTTCGGAGGTTCCGACCTTGATGTCGTGCATTTTTGAGATTTTGACACCAGTCCCCAAGTGTTCGGGGCGTTTTCAGCCTTTGGAGATGTTTCGTGATTTTCATGTTGCCTCATTGAGGGATTAAGAGTTTGGAGTCCTGACCCGGAGGTCGTTCAGGTATTGAATTGTTGACGCTAGTCCCCGAGTGTTCAAGACGTTTTCGGCAGGGGAGTCATTTTTGCGAAGGTGCCGAGGTGCCGAGCTTCTTTGGAGTGTGAGATGCTTTGATAAAAGATATTCTTCAGTTACTTTGTTCAAGTGTACATGTTTTTGCCGTCGAGGCCCAGCAATACGGACACGGTTCGTTTGTCTGTATGGCCCGGTACATCATTTTCCTATTGGGACCCCATTTGGCAATCCTTGCCTTTTTCGAGCGGATGGCCTTCAGAGGGGATGCACCCCAGTATTCGGGGTTGGTTGCAAAAGAAGCCTTGAATTCTTGTCGAGTCGTGCTTAGGTAGAATGTGAAGGTTGCCTCATTAAAAACCTTGCCGGTAAAACCCTTTTCGAGATAAAAAACTCGGTCGAAGGAAAAGAGTGCAACGGATGCTTTAAAACCTTAAGATCTTCGGGTTGGGTTAGCGCTTTGACTGCTTCGGTTGGGCGCCTGCATAAGGGTTAGTATGAAATAAATAATAAAAAGGGAGATGGTTATACCTTAGTGTGGGATATGCCAGCGATGTTTCGGGGTCTGATATCTCTCAGTAGGTTGTGACGAGGATGCAGTACGATCCTTTGTTTTGTTTAATTAGGCTTAACCGAAGATGTAACTTGATTACCCTTTGGCTCCTTTGCGGGTGGAGGTATCGGTGTTGGCCCCACATCGTACACCGTTCTCTCGCCGTGTGTTGCTCCCCGTAGATGCTTTTAATCCCATCCTTTGTCGGGAATATCATTATTTGGTCGAGGGTGGATGGTACTGCTCTCATGCAGTGTATCCACGGCCTCCCGAACAAGGCGTTGTACCTCATATCTCTTTCGATGGCATGAAATTTGACATTCTGGGTTGTGTCGTCCACGTTGACTGGGAGAGTGATTTCTCATTTCGTTGTTTTACTTGCCATGTTGAATTCGTTGAGGACTCGAGTGGCGGGCACGATTTGGTTAACCAGTCCGAGATGCTCTATTACCCTCGACCTGATAATATTGGTCGAGCTACCTGGATCCACGAGTACACATTTTATTTGAAATGTATTTACGAGGAAAGAGATTACCAATGCGTCTTTGTGGGGTTGAGACAAGGTCTCAGTGTCTTCTTTGCTGAAAGTGAGGGCATCCTCGGGTATATACCCCCAGGTTTGCTTTTCTCTAGTGATGTATATTTTTGTCCTTCTCATCACGGGTTCTTGTGGGACATCGATGCCTCCCAAGATCATATGGATGACATGTTGCGGCTCATTCGTTTCTTTCTTCTTAGCCGCCTCTCTTTCCCAGAACTGATTTTTGGCTCCGTCGCTGAGGAATTCTCGGAGGTGACCTTTGTTAAGTATCCAGCTACCTCTTCTTGGAGTTGGTGGAAATCCTCGGTCCTCTGGCCGTGTGTGTTGTGAAATGCACACACTAAGTTATGATTCCTTTGTGAAGGATCTGAATGTACAGGCTTGGGCCACTTGGCTTCTTATTTTACTGATAGTGAACATGATGTCCGATACATCAATGTTGAAGTTGTATTCTGATAAGTGAGGTGCCTCCGTTGGCCCTGCATTCCTGTCGAATCCGGTTCTGTTGGTGAGTCCCTAAGGATTCTGTCCTCGGTCTATCGTTCGATCGTTGCGAGGTGAGTTGCGCCTCGGGGCGTTCATTCTGTCTTCGGCGTATAGATGGTATCTTTATTTGTTTGGCTTTGGCTCGTTCGCTAGAAGCCTACTTGGTTATACTAAGCCCGAGGGGGCTCCTAGCTAGTCGTCTTCGACCCTGATCTTCGACTGGTATCAGTTGTGGACATCCAAGCAGGTCACAGCGGGGTACTCGACCAAATTCTGTTACAACTGCTTTGAAGCCACCGAGCTTCATTCATTCAGACCTAGAGTAAAGGCCTGCACTGCCCAGTTGTTAGAGACTGGTGGTAGTTCCATCCGTTCCATTTGAAAACGAGATACGAATTCTCGCAGCATTTCATTCTCCCTCTGCTTGATCTTGAACATGTTAGATTTACTTGTTGCCACTTTGATGGCACCGACATGTGCCTTTGTGAAGGAGAGTGCCAGCATGGCGAATGAGTCTATGGAGTTAGGAGCTAGGTTGTGATAACACATCATGGACCCCTTCGAGAGCATCTCTCCAAAGTTCTTTTGTAAGACGGACTCGATCTCGTTGTCCTTTATCTCGTTGCCCTTCACTGCGCAAGTGTAAACAGTAACGTGCTCGTTTGGATCTGAGGTTGCATTATATTTTGGGAGGTCTATCATTCTGAACTTCTTTGGAATGGGATTCGAAGCCGCTTCCTCTGGGAACAGCCTTTCTATGAACTTCTTCGAATCCATACCTTTCAGGATCGGGGGTGCGCCGGGAATTTTGTCGACCTTGGAGTTGTAGGTCTCGACCTTTTTATCGTTGGCTTCTATCATTTTCTTGCCCGATTCGATCCTTCTAGTGAGCTCCTCGAGCATATTTACGATAACGGGATCGGTCATCGACCCGTTATTGCTTGATCTCTCTGGTACCTGTTCAGCTGGGGGAGCTATCCCCGGTGCTACTGTGCTAAGAGTTTTCTGGTGACTTTGCAGCTGAGCAATAGCCAGCTGTTGTGCCTGCAACATTTCAAAAATAGCATGAAGGCTAAGCTCTTGTTCTTCCTTAGTTGGGGTTTTCTAAGCCTCTTGTTGATCCCTTTGGTGCACGCTCCTGTCAATGTGGGAGCTTATGTCGATGTGTTGCGTGTTGCGTGAGACCGCGTCCATGGGTATTGGTTCTGGTGGCATACCAACACCTGGAATGGCCCCACCGTTTTCTCCGTGGTCCTCAAGGTTGTTGTTTTCACCTCCATTCACTGAATTAGACATTTCGGCCTGAAATCGAAGACCTTGGACAAGAGAAAGCGTGAAAGATAACTTGCATTATGTAGTAAAACCAGCAAGAAAATAATCACTATTATTTTTAACCCCTCGGTGGGCACCAAACTGTTTACCATGAAAATGGTAATAACCATTAAATTTGATTATGGGACTCTAAAAATACGTGATCTATTTTTATGCTAGTTGTTAAGCAGTTGATGCTAAATGTGAGGTTTAGAAACGAGATAAGAGTAAGGAGTAAGGTGACAATCAGTTCGATAGGTTAACAATCCCGGCCTCGAGCTTGTCGATTCA